GTGTGGAAGAGGGGGACACACAAAACCTAACCCCACAGTATTACAATCTTATCGGTGTCAGCTCACAGTTTGCCAGCCTGCCTCTCTCCAGGTGCCAGGCGTGTGCTTGTTTCTGGTGTGGTGGAGAGGTTTCTTAGCTAGTGCTTCCAGGTGCCTCCTGAGAGTTTATACAGCTTGAGTTCAAAATACAAAAAGTTCCTTTTAGGTTGTTTTTCCCTCACACCTGCTTTCTGAGCTTTCTTCCTTCCATGCAGGTCTTGGAAGCAGGGAACCTCTCCCTGCAACCTGTGGTGCTGCTCTTCTCTCCACCAGCTATACAGTGCAAAGTATGCAGAAGAATGTAAGAACAGTAAGGGCCAAATCGGAGGTGTATCTGTGTGGCTTTGAGACTTTTGGTTTTTTCTTGCTTCTGAGAGAATAACAAGTAGTGATTCTAAGGAAACTGATTTCAAGCTGTTACTGGCGCTCTTGATGCCCAAAGAAATATCTTTTCCATGGTGTTGGGAGCTGCCCTTGGCGCTGCTAGCGACCAGGTGACAGCAGTACACTGTGCATTTCCTAATCACAAAGTGATGCTGTGCCATGCCTGCTGTGAGGGAGAACATGTGGCATCCTGTGGCTTAGAGCTTACTATCAAGGACCTGTAAGTTGCAGCAAGAAGTTTTGATCCATGTTCCAAGGAGTCGTCCTCTGAAGTGATGAACCATTTAGGTTCCCTTCATATTGAGGCTGGCCCCTGGCTGTGCAGTAGGAGTAGGAATGGACGTCTTGATTCTCCTCGTAAGCTTTCTGCTGCTTAGCTCACTTCTGTGTACCTTGAGCTCACAACTTCTGGGAGTCCCACAGGATGAGACTTGACATACTCAGCACCACAGGGAGAAAGGGGGAACAGCTCCTGCTGCTTCAGGTCATGTGGCAGCATGCAGGAGCTGCAGCTGGGAATGGTTGTAGCTGGTGGGACTCCAGAGGGGTTGATACCTCCTTTGGAGGCCTTCCCCACTCCCTTTCCCATCGCTACAGCACAGAGTGCAGACATCTCATATGCTTATGGACACATTTTTACTGGCAGATCACAGCTCAGGGTTGGTAGCCCCAAGTATGCCCCAAGGTGCGGGGGAGTATTCCTGTTTCAGTTAGTAGTTTCCAGATTCATAGTTGACTAGGCAATCAGCAAGACTGATGCACTGGAGAGTTGAAACCTCACAGTGGGTGACGTGAGTGAAAGGTTTGGCTTTTCACACTTGCCCAGAATGATTGAAGAGTAGGAGAATGGGAGAAGAGGGGGCAGATGGCAGCCACAGCAGGGCTGGCAGGGGAAGTGGCTGAGAGCTGTAAGAAGGGAAAGTAAATGCTCTCATTAACAGAACCAGCCGTGCTGGAGTTTGTAAGGCCACTTATTTTCAAAGCAGCCTGCAGCTGACCCAAGTTTGCATTCATGAAAATCTTTGTGGCTGGTCAAAGTGCCATTAGCGTTTAGTATGAATAAATGTTTACAAGAATGTTTGTGCTAGAAGTGCTGTTTCAGCCATTCTGAAAAGTTGTGTTTTTAATTATTCATACAATAGATTAATCTGACACTCACAGGTGGCCCTGAATAAGTAGCAGGCAAGAAATCTGAATGGTGTGCTGCTGATTTAAGTGGTGTAGGCCATCAGTTAGAGACTGAAAACACCATCAGGTGACCATTCAAAGAAACAATGGAGCAAAATCTCTCCTATTTTAAATGTCTTCATTTCAACTCCAAACCTTTCATTTAATCTCTTTTTTCATATACTCTACCCACCCCTACCCTTGTTTGCTAGTCATTAGAATTCCTTGTATAGCTCTTTTCTTCATCTAATGGAGACTTCTTGGATAGAAGTGTGTGTGGGGAGAAGAGGAGAAACAATGAAGACAGAGAGTGGTAATATAGCTGTTTATGGTGGCAAAAGAGGTGGATAATTAATTTTCTGGCTGCAGAGATCTTGTGTCTTATGTAAAAGTTCCTGAGAGCTGAAGAATTCAGTTCCTGTTTCATGGGAAGCGGGTTTTTGGTAGGGTGGTGGTTTGGTTTTGGTTTTGGGTTTGGGTTTTTTTTTTTTGGGGGGGGTGGGGTTTTTGGGGGGGGGGGGGGGGGTTT